ACGGAACTCTTAAGTAACTAGAAAGGAGGGATGCAATGCTCTGGTCCTTGTCCTTGTTATCCTACACTGTCTGGGCTCCTGTGTCTGTATGTCTCACTGAACACGGGATTTTCTAGGTTCTAAGCGAAGTAAAACTCTCCTAAAAAAAAGAGTGGGTATATCCTTTCCGATGCTACCCCCACAATCAAAGACATTTGTGTTCCCCACCCTCTGCACAATTCATACAGCTTAATATGGCTCTTGGGAAAATTCTCAACAGAACAGTTCAGAGTGAAATGTGTTTTTAATTAAGATGACAACAACAACAACAACAAAGAAGATAAGACTGCTTATAGGATCTCATTACCCAGATGCTAATCTTGGTATTTAGGAATGCTGTGGCGATCAAGCCCTTCTTGTGCAATCTCCCCTGACTACGTTCAGTTCTAGGAGTCTGAAGCTCCTGGTGAGTTGCTTTAGCTCAGAACTAGCCTGTAAGAAACTCCAGGTATTGTCTCAACAGCCCCAGGTAACTTACAATAAGTGGGTCATACATTAGGGCATTGCCCTCTATTTTTTTCTTACACACCAACAGGATAGCTTGTAGGGAAAGAGGAAAGCAAAAGACAGGAAACCAGTATGGATGGGCTTTTGAAATTGTGAAAGTTGCGGATTGTTTAATCTCTCTCTCTTTTTTTTTTTTTTTTTTTTTAGAGCAGACTATTCAGAACTTTATTTTGGAGCCACAGCAGATGGTGTGAATCATCCTTTGGCTTTGCGCATGCTCTTCACACTTGGGCCATCCTCGGTCTGACATGCTCTCTCCCACTTAGGACTAAAGGTGGCAGGACTTCCCTTAGGAGCTCAGAGGGGGACTCACAGTAAGCAAAGGAGGGAAGAGTCACTAACGAACATCAATGGAAGGACCCCGAAGGGTGAAATCGACATACGTGCAAGCAAACAATTCTGCCAGCTGCTTTAAGGCTCAGCCTTCTTATAGAAAAACCAAATTGTTTTAATAGATGAATGAATCTGTTAAAGACGGAACGCTTAGGTGACGCAGAGAACGTAAAAGAGAACACTGCTCCAGCTTGAATCATCAAGCTAACCATTTCTGTTTTCAATCATGTTTTATTCTGTCCACAGTTATTCCCCTGAGTTTTGTCCCCCCCCTCTATTTTTAGCTTTCATGAATGAATTGTGTATATCTGCCATTGAACATTTGCTTTCCCGGTGATATTTTAGCTTTCATAACTAGCGACTTTCAAAAAAAAACCCTCAATTATGACCTACCCAATTCTCTTTGTATGCACTATGCTGCCTAAAGGTTTTCCACTAGTGTGGAATACAGTTGTTATCTAAACATAAATAGAGATAATCCTTAACCCCAGTGGGGAAGTATTCCATATGAAAATCTCAGTACCACAAAGATTATGTAAAAACTCTACAATATTCTATAGTCTGCATATGTTTTACATACACTATATGACACATTCTAAAAACCATCGGAAATAAGAAGTAACAGACAGGTAATAGAGACAAGGTGCATAAACCCACTTGGCATTGTGCACATATGTACATGTTTGTACAAGGCACTAGAGCAGCCAAGCTTACTATGCAACAGGGACACGTACAGTATACTTATTTGTTTATTCTCTAAGTTTAAACTTAGTTGTGTTAAGTTTTCCCAAAATAAGCTATTCTGTAGCCTACTTAGAGATGAAAGTTGAGGAAAAAGATTTCGGATAACCTAAAACAAGGATTTGTGGAAGGGTCTCTTGGCATAACCCCTATATCTTAAATAATTTTCAAATTTCTTACCTGACCCAGCCTCTCTTATTTATCACTGACTACATAGAGTAACACTTCTTGATTTCTGAATGTGTGTTCCCTACTCTTCCAATGAAGGATCCAATGAACACAGCTTTTGAATTCCGTGTGCTAATGTTGACATACTACTTTACTGTGCCATCTAAGGGTCATTAAGTTTGGATAAGAGATCTGTACAAAGTAAACTTATCAGATTATCTTTTGTAATTTGTTCTTTGTCCTTAGCTGAGGCCAATAGAAGAAATCCTACCATTAATAACAACATTCCCAGTGATGTCAACAAATCCCTGAGGGGAAGCAGGCTGGGGAAGCTGAGTATGTGAGCGTTCCCCAGTGTCCCTATGCCAAGCAAACACAGAAACCTAGTGACACATTTGTCTTTTCAGTGTAGGGGTAATGGGGCCACTCAGTTAAACAGGGATCATCCCCTCTTCTTGTAGCCGCTGACCTGAAGGTTCAGTCTATCTGCTGCTTAGCCAACTGCAGGCAGACTGAACACCTGGAGAGGATAGCCTTGCAAGCAGTAGTTCTGTCTGCTACAGCTTCCTCTCAGTTTCCCTTCAAGGGAGCACCAAGGGCTTGCACTTGTAAAGACTGAATATCAAAATACCAAGACCCATCATTACTGACTATAAGAGAAGATTGTAAGGCTAGGGTCTCAGGAAGTGGGTAATGAGCTGGGCATCACCCAGGCTTAGCTGGAAAGCAATTGCAGCCTCAGTACACTGTTATTTGATCTCCTCTCTGCAATTTCTTCCTTTTAGATAATTTTTACTCAATTTCCAACCCCAGTGCTTATTCTGATGCAGGTTCCATGCCACTACTGACCCACTCCTAGAGAAATCAGACCTCTTTTCTGTAATTTTCAGCTTTACTTACAGGCAGAGATTGGCCTGCAGGTCAAATCAATAGAGTTACAAGGAAAGGCCTATTCCTTCTGATTTCATCAGACTATTTATTTACCACTTATTATAGGGTTGTGATTGAACTGGCTTGCTCAAACTCTTAAAATACAGTGGTTTCCAGGTATTTGGAGAATATAGCCTACCCTCCACTTGTGACAGTTTGGCAGGAACAAACACTAGGAAGAAATCCCCAATATGGAAAAGCAAGGAAGACAGATGCACTTCCTCAATATGTTCTGAAGCCTGCAGATGACCTATTGTCACTGAGCAGGAGGCTTAACATAAGGATTGTGCATGCCAGCTTAAATGGTGTTGAAAAGAACTGTCATTGAAAAAAATGGGGGTACAGTAATTTCTGAAAGAATTGACAGTCAGCTTAGCATGTCCAGCAGCAGCCACGTGTTGGGAAGCCAAGTCTGAGTTTGAGATTCTAGTCTCTATGGAGGAGTGAGGTGGTGATGAATTCCGGGTTTTTATTTTCCTTCAATATTTCATGGATAGGAAAATATTCCAGAGAAACCACCTAGAATTTCAGGAAAAAAATTTGTTCCCCCCTCCAAAATCCTATTCAGACTCTAGCAAATTAAAAACTACAGACACTTAACTCACTTCTGCTGTCAGCACACCAAGTGGAAAGACGTAAAGTGAGAATTTCAGAAAGTAAGTGCCGGTTCTTTGCCAAAACCAAATGTCCAGCACCTTAAGAAATACAGTGTGTTTGAAATGACTTCACATTTAGTCTCGTCAAAAAAGGAACCCAAAGGTTCATGGGAACTTGGATACCATGCAGGGAAGAGGCTGAGGTGGGTGGCCACCCAAAGCGGCGGCACCCTATTTGGAGGTGGTGCTTTGCTTCCTTTCGCAGTGCGAGGCTTTACATGCTAAAGACACACTGGATTAGGGCAGCACTGACCTTGGCTCCCGTCTCCTTACCAGGAAGGCAGCTACAAATGGCAAGGAGCCATTAGGGTACTGCGAATGAACTAGCCTGTTCTCACATTAAGGCCCAAGCTTCCTCAGACTCAGGCCTCTTCCCTCCCACCTGCTAGTGCTGCACTGTGGTTTGCAACCAGGCAGAAGACTTTTGCATCACCCCAGGGGAGGAATGCAAGGCTCCTTTTGGAAAATGCTGACGTCCTTACTCCAGTTCTGCTTTCTTAGAATCTTCATGCAGGGAGAACCTCAGAGAACAGACCTTCAAGTTCCCTTTAAAAAATCCTTGGAGCAGATGTGTGTGGAACTTATGAATTTGTTTTTAGGAATGGTGTTAATTGCAGGCGCAATACAAAACCTCCAGTAAGGGATGAGCCTGCAGGTAATCATTTGCATGAATATTGATACAGGTAATCATATGCATGAATATTGATACAGGACATCTTCACGGTGTGTGGGATAAGGACAGGCAGAAATAGCAGGAAATCAGATTATCGAATAAACCTAGATGTTAAATTTACAAGAGAACTTTCAGTTTTTCTGGACACTTTAGGTTTTGAAATTGAGGTAAAGAGGTTTTATATCTGTATAAGGTTTTTTACAAATGGACCCATTTGTTTTGAGAGAAGAGGAGGTGTCACATACAAACTGCTATGGAGTCCTTTCAAAACGTCTTTTGCACAGTTTGACTAAATGGGCCAGGAGCAAAGGTGTGTTGTCCTTGTCTGTGGGGTCCTGCCACATGTGACTTTGACAAATCCCATTCTATTGAGTCAATCTGTGACAGCACTGTTGCCCTAGACTCTGAGCTGCCTTGCTGAGCTGTAGAGCAGGAGACCAGAAAGGGAGGCATTAGTAAACTGTCTAAGGCTCACAGGAACACTTCAGGACTAAAAGAAAAGCTGTTAGGACAATACATTTGTAGTCAACTGGCTAACACTGCCACTGCGCAGGGTCACACTGCCTGCTTTTCAAAGCACAGATAAACCCCAGACGTCTCTTTGAATGAGTTTTGCTTATTTGTTGTTTTGGCTTTTTGTTTGTTAGTCTGAGACAGGACCTCATAATATATCCTTTGTTATGTATCTTGTGCTGACCTAGAACTTGTTATGTAGCCCAGACTAGTCTCAAGCTTGCAATCCTACCTCAACTTCCCAAGGGCTGGGCTTACAGGTGTGTGGCACTATTCCTGCCAATAAAAAATGTTTGAAACCCAAATCGCTGAAAATGTAAACACTGGCATGGGAAGTTAACTCCTGGGCTATTGACTAAAGAGTATATATACTGGGGAAGGGAGAATTTTCTTAGAGATAGGGGCTTGTCACCAGTGAAGACAGACAGATCAAGGCTTACTTGGCTTCCAGGGCCAGAGCAATGATGCCAGCAGCCATGGGGGCTGAGGCTGATGTCCCAGTATGATTGTCCGTGCATCGTTGCCTTAGATCAGTGGTGATCTGAAAAACAAAAGTGAAAAAAATTTAAGCCCTGCGGACAGACTGGGTCACAGCAAGAAGTTTACTTACAAAGTAAATGGAGAGGAATATGAGATAAATTTTAAATTCAATGTTTCCAGACCTCTGTGATCATTTGTTTTCAAAAAATTGCTTGTATCCAACAAACTTGACTGGAAACCGACTTCATTAAAAGCAGAACAGGAACAGGGCGAACCAGAGCGCAGAACCTCAAGGCCATGCACATATCTCCTGAGAGTCTACAGTCTGTGTACCTTGTGTGCCCCACCTGAGTTCAACTCTGGATGAAAATGGAAATTTTTCAATTGACACATGCTTTAAACTAATTAAATATGTTAAATGAACACCCAGGTGCCACACCTGGTGTCAGAAGATAAAGGATAAACTATGTATCTTCTACATTCTCCAAATTATAACTTGGGGAAGTAACTGGTCTCAAGAAAAAGTTCCCCCACACAAGTGACCTTTGCATATGGATTTTTCTAGAATTCATTAAAATGTTGCATGGATGAGTTAAGGCTTCCTTAAAGGTTTCACATGGATAGAAAAAGCAAGGATTGAGTTCCTGTGCCACACACACAGTAAAGGCAGTGTCTGCTTCTACATTATATACAAGAGATTAGCTACTTTTCCATTTTTACCTTGCAATCAAAATGTGAAAACTAGATCATTTTATTTTCTTGGCTTGAATCCAGTTCACTTCAGCTCTGACTGAATTCTATTACCATTCATCAGAAGCAATGGTTCCCAGTCTGTGTTTCATTATTGTCTCACTAAGAAAGAAAATTAAATTTAAATTCTCCTTAACAAGAAAAATTAAGTACTATAGAATGTGACTCTAGAAGCCATTGTAAGCTCCTCAGATTTAAAAAAAAAAATCTTCCCTCCTGGACAGAAATCCATTTTGCTCCCTTGGGACTGATTTTGTGTTTGATGAGAAGATGAATAAGTGGGCATGCAGCATTCACTGGATGACATCAGCAAACCTTTCTTTGGCACGAAGACAAGTGTGTCACCACACATTACAGAGAAGAGAGCTGACGGGAAAGTGGAGCAGAAAGACAGTGAGTGGAGGCAGCAGAATGCACAGCCTTTGTTTGTCTAGGAGGGCTGAGATGAGCTGCAATTGGTTTAGGAAACAGGTGGACACCCCACTCCCACAATCACCTTTACAACTTTCCTCTATGCCACAGGAGGTTGAAGGGAACTTTCCATCGTGTTATAGAACTAGAGCGGCATCTTAGCCCACTCAGTTTCCCACAAGAGAGCATGCCTATCATATCTTTTGACATGTGTAATGCTACCAGATAACCTGTATCACATAAGTATGAACACTGACACAAAAGAAGTGGGAAAATAAATATGTAGACCTGTAGGAGGAAGTCTATGTCGCCATTAAACATGTGACTTACTAGAGGCGCATACAGATGAGGTAATAAAAGGGCGGTTTACCACACCGCTAACCACACCCACTTTAGGCAGGACTAAAGACGTATACGGCTGGACGTAAAGACGTATACGTATGTAGGCGGAACTACGTCACTAGCCAAGCCCACTTTTGGGCATGGCTAGGGGCGTTACGGGGGGAAGGCATAAAAGACAGCGCACAGGAAGTCTCGCTCTCTTTTCCTGGAGTTCGGCTTCCGGTCCAGTCGCTAGCTGAGATCTGCTGGGCTTCTCGGGGTTTGGTATCTTGTGAGTAATTTTCTATATAAAATACTTAGCCTTATTTTCAGTCATTGTGTGTCGCGTATCGTTACAGCGTCCGTAAAGCCAACAGTTTGGTGTCAGGAGTGGGATTGGAATCGGGACCCAGGGCTTCTCTCGGCCCGACCAGGCACACGTGGACTCTCCTTTCGCTAAGTTCCTCACTACTTCGCTCGGCAAGGCACGATTCCTGCCGCCAGGAACCAGCACCTTCTACCTGCCGGTAAGGTTAGGCGGAATTCCAAGGTTTCTCTCGCGGCCACGTGCTGTTTTACTGGCGGCCAGCTGACTCCGGCCACGTGCTCTTTCGCTGGCAGCCTGTTGATTTTGGCCTGAATTACTCCATTGGTAACAAACGTAACTGCTTTATACAATGTCAACAGCTAACACTATGATGCAGGATGTTAAGAATTTTCTTGTTTTTTGTATGGATGGGATTTTAGAAAGGGTTGAGGACCTACCTGAAAGGTGCTTCCTACCCATGATGGTGATTATTAGCTTCATAATCAATATAATTTTGTTAATGAAATGGCTCAAAAATAGGAATAAACTTATACAGGTCATGCAGTCATCGCAGGATAGTTTTGAAATCTTAATACAAAGGATTCAGGAAATGCAAAATTCATTGCAGGAGAGTAAGAAAGGGTTGGTAGAAAATATTCAGGATATTAAAAATGATAATGTAGGTCTGACGAACAGGTTTAAAGAGACGGAACACAAAATTGAATTATTTTCAGGAAAAATGTGTTCCATAGATAGAATTGAAAAATTGGAACATAATGTGGAAACATTTAACGACAAACACGGTTCCATGTTTGATGATTTCACTAGCAAATTACAAAGACTGGAACATAAAATTGAAATGCTAGCAGAAAAGAATTGTTCCATGTCTGAGAGCAATGGTAAACTAACTGATAGAATATCATTTGTTGAAGGCAGTTTACATGCTATTGAGGTACTTGCTAAGGATGAGAATATTAGAAATTTGGAATCACATGTAAATGATGAAGGTAAGAAAATGAAAGATTCCATGACATCCTTAGAAAATCATTTGTCCCAAGAACTTCAAGAGCTCAGAGAAACAATGATGAATAGACTGCAGGATTTAGAAGACGCTCAATCTGATACTTCAGAATCAGAAATACAGGCACCAGGTCAGGACAGGTGTTTCCCAACACCTCTCAAATGCCGGAAAGATCTCCCTAAGGTTGCTATGCGTTCACCTATGGTTTTTCCAGTATCTGTATCAGAAAAACCAGCAACGAAAAAACAATCAAATGGTCCCATTGCTTATCACTGGGAGCCTATACAGATGAAGGATCTAAAAAATATTAAGGAGGCCATTGTCATGTATGGTCTTCATTCTCCCTTTGTCAGAGAGCTCCTAACCTCATGGGCTACTGTAAATAAAGTAACCCCAAAAGACTGGGCCCAATTAGCCTCTGCAGTACTCGAAAATTCTTGCCAAATTCAATGGAGAGCTTTATGGAGGCAAGAAGCAAAAGCAATAGAAATTCAGGAATTACAGAACGGTCAGGAAGTACCCCAAGACAAGATTCTTGGGGAGGGTCCTTACGCTGACACGCAGGTTCAATCTGCATATGACGAGCACATGTTGTCTTTGTGCCGTACAGCTGCTTTAAATGCCTTGGATAAGGTTTGTGAAACAGGAGAGATAATGCAACCCTACACCAAGGTATTACAGGGCCCAAGGGAAAGGTTCACTGAATTTTTAGAGAGATTATCCAGAGCAGTAGAGGTACAGGTAGCGAACCCAGAATCCAGGCGTCTTCTTATAGAATCTTTGGCGTATGAGAACGCGAATCCTCAATGCAGGCAGGTAATTTGGCCATTAAAAATAAGATCAGCGCCATTGGAGGAATGGGTTCTGCATACAGCGAACCTGGAATGTAAAAGTCAGGATACAGGAGCTTGGGTAGGTGAAGCTATTTCTACAGGGTTGAGGAGGCACCAGGATGCCAAATACCCTACCTGTGATGATATAGAGGCATGGGTAGGGAAGGCAATCTCAAAGAATTTAAATAGGCGTAAAGATGCAAAATGCTTTAACTGTGGTAGAATAGGACATCTTAGTAGGAACTGTAGACAACGCATTCCTAGAAATAATGCTTTTACCAGGAATGTATCAAACAGAAGGCCTAAGCCTCCTGGTCTATGCAGGAGGTGTGGGAAGGGGCGCCATTGGACTGATGAATGCTATTCCAAAATAGACAGACAAGGTAGATCTTTAAAGCCAACCGAGCCCCGAAAAGAGATTATCCGGTCATTCCCAGTGACAGTGGAGGACAGCCTCTCCCAGGACAATTAGAAGATCCACTGCCCATTGTAAATAATACGGCACTGGATAATACATTAGCTCCAGAGGATGAATCAATTATATCAGGAGGAGGAAGATAACAGCCCATCGACAAATTCATAGTCCACCATGGGTAAAGTGACCTCCTAAAAGGAAAGAGAAGTGTTTTGGTTTTGTCTTCACAGGTAAACTCAGCAAAGAATACTGGACATATGGATTCCTGTAGAAGAATGAATAGCTACCCTGAGGACCATCAAATAAACAGTATCTCACTGTGTGGTATCAAAGTCTAAATCTCTCTATATTGTTTTTTCATAGTACCCTTTTATCTTTATTTCTTCACATACCTCAGTTCCCATTCATTTAACTGAAGCTGGCTTTGGAGTTGGATTGGCTCTCCTACTCTAAACCCAAGCATATTATTTAAATACAATTCAGAATTTCTGTATTATATCAAAGAGCCATTGATATAAGACAGAAGAAATAAAATGAGGGACTGTTATCTATGGATTTCTTTTTCTGAACAGGCTAATTTCCTCCAGGTTTTCCATCTTCCCTATTGTCACCTCTTTTGTATGCATACATATGAAAGTTAAAATATTTCTTTGTTAACAGCAATGTTTGAGTTTTCCAGAGAACAAGGGATTTCCTGACAGCAATCTTCAACTGCTTCCGAAAGAGAATGAGGATCCAATTCCTTGACTTCACCTGATTCGACTGGAGGCATCTGAATTGCCCCACATCATTGACTCCACCTGACAAGCACTATCCTGAAACTGGCTTGAAACTACATCACTCGACACAACTCCAGACCAAGGAACGGAAATAGCACATCTTCTACAATCTGACCAGAGCTTCAAGATGAGAGCTTCAATCAACACTAGAACCCCAGTCAGGAACTTCAATCAAGCATCTCCTGACATACTGAGACTGTCTGATCTACTCAGATTTTGTTATA